CGGTGAACATACTAGAAGTTATTTGAGAAAACTACGCACTTATTACGGCCATGGCGGTGCCAGCCACGCGTAGATTCCCCCACCGGAGCCCGACAGCGCTCCTGCTTCCACTCGCGGTGCTGACGCTTGCCGCCGTCTCTGAATCCGCAAGATTAGCATCTGTGTCGAGTGTGGTCAGCACCTTCAGTAGTCCAAAACTTGTCAACGACTCGTCTCCGTCCTCCTCCTCTTCCTCCTCCTCCTCCTCCTCTCGTTCCGTCTCCTCGTCCGCCTCCGTTTCCTTCGCTGTTTCCTCGGTCGAGTCGCACGATGACGTGGCAGAGCTGGAGGAAGACGTGTCGGCTCCGCGGCGCATGATGCTCGCGCCCGGATGGATGCTTTGGCGAATGGCGAATTCTAACAGATGTCGCCCGTCGTCGCTCCAGGGTTACACGTCAAGTCGCAAGCTCGGCAACGGGTATGTGTGCGGGCGATGGGGGGTAACGGGTATGTGTGGTGGAGATGGGGGTTATCAGTCCGGGCAATGGGGCAACCAACGGGTTTATTCGCGGAGATACCCGCGCGCGCAAGGGCAACTTGCGGAGTAACCCGTGCGTAACAGTTTCCGCGTCCACGCTTTCCCTTGGACCCTCCCCCAACCCCGTTCCCCTACCACGCTGGAAAGCCACGTTCGCCGCGAGGCTGCACCTGAGTTTCGGGCTCGGGCTCAGGTTCGGGCTCAGGTTCGGGGTGGTACCGAAACTGCCCCATGCCACCCGTTCGCTCCCCTTCCCCACACCTTTTTCCCACCCCTCCACCAGCCTCGTGCTGCACTGGAAAGCCGCGACGGGCGAGAGGCTGCGAGCGGTGCTGGCAATGCTGCGGACGGCCCTCCGTTCCCCCATCCCCACTCCCTCACCCCCCATCCCTTCCCCCACCCCCACCCCCACCGCTCCACCCCTCCATCAGCCTTGTGCTGCACTGGACAGCCACGACGGAGAGAGAAGCGGAGGGGATGGCTGGGATAAACCTTTTCCTTATACCCCCCTGCCATCCCTTGCCCCTATCCCCAACCCCACCCCCATCCCTTCCCCCCATCCCCACCCCCACCCCCTTCCTCCCACCGCTCCTCCCCCCTCCTGTCAGCCTGGTTCTCCATTGGAGGGCGACGACGGGGAAGCGTCTGCGCGTGGCAGTGATGGCGCGCGCGGGGACAGAGGCAGCGGCGGCGGGGTGGTTCGCCGTGGGGTGGTCCCCCAAAGGGGACATGGACGGCAGCAACGTGGTTGCGCGCGAGGCGGACAGCGCCCCTATCGCGTACGACCTGAGCGGGCATGAGGACGCCACGGAGGCGCGCTCGTGGGTGCCGCAGGACGCTTCGGTCGAGCATACCGGGAATGGAATTATCATGCGGTGAGTGCGGCTTGGGAGGAAGTGAGCGCGGCTGATGTTTGAGAACCTGCTCGCCCCATCGCGTACGACCTGATCGGGCACAAGGACGCCACGGAGGCGCGCTCGTGGGTGCCGCAGGACGCGCCTGAGGAGCATGGAGTTATTTTAGGTGAGTGAGTGCGGTTCTGAGGAAGTGAGTGCGGTTGTTTTTAGACGTCTCACAGGGCGGACAGCGGCCCCATTGCATCGCGACGACCTGAGCGGAAACGAGGACGCGACTGAGGTGAGGACGTGGGGGGTGCAGGACGCTTCTTCGGTCGATCATACTAGGGAACGGGGCCATTTTCAGGTGAGTGTGGTTTGGTGCGGTTGGGATGGAGTGAGTGAGGTTCTGGGGAGTGAGTTTGGTTGATTTGAGACGTCTCAGGAGGCGGACAGCGCCCCCGTCGCGTATGATCTGAGCGGAATCGAGGCGATTCTGGGGGTTGCACGTGGGGGTTGCAGAACGCTTCAGTGGGGCATTCTGCGATTGGAAACATCATGCGGTGAGTGGGGATGTGCGGAAGTGAGTGCGGTTGTGACAAATTGTGAATGGTATGTGCTTATCTGCTTTATAAACACAAATATTTGTGTCTGTACATTATAAAAAACATCTTATACATGCGTCTGTGCATGTATCTATACGTGTATCCGATTCTCCCCCTCACTGCGCAACGCATGCAGGTTCACGCGCATCAAGGGAGACGGGTCATCAGTGGGCATCAGGACGTGACTGCATCGTTGCTAAACCGGTCTACAATCTTCTGCATCCCTCCCCACCTCTCACTCTCTCCAACTCTCTTCTCCCCCTCGCGCTCACCGCGCAACGCCTGCAGGTTCACGCGCATCAAGGGGGACGGGTCGTCGGTGGGCATCAAGACGTGGGAGGGCTTTAACTACATCGTGTTTGCATATGGCATGGGCATCACCATCGGGGACCACCAGTACAGGTGTGCAAGTGATGTGTACTTGCGTGCTTTCTGGTGTATGGCTGTGACTGCACTCTGTTCGCATCTATGGGAGACCCCAAAGGCGTCGAAATCACTTGTGAGAATTCTCAAAACTGATTTCAGCTTTCTGGTGTATGGCTGTGACTGCGCTGTGTTCGCGTCTGTGGGAGACCCCAAAGGCGTCGCCCGCCCACTGCTGGTGTGGTGGTCCTCGATGGCTGGCTGTGACTGCACTGCGACTTCGTTTTTTTTCGCTTGCTCTGGTGTATGGCTGTGACTGCACTGTGTTCGCGTCTATGGGAGACCCCAAAGGCGTCGCCCGCCCACTGCTGGTGGTCCCCGATGGCTGGCTGTGACTGCACTGTGACGTCACTGTGACTGCGTTTGTTTTCACTTGCTCCGGTGTGTGGCTGTGACTGCACTGTGACTGCACTGTGACTGCGTTTTTGTTCGCTTGCTCTGTATGGCTGTGACGGTGTTCGCGCCTATGGTATGTTCTCCTCCCCCCCACTCCCACTTCCACTCACCCTCCCCTATTTACACTGCCATTCTCTACAGGAACAAGATTGGCTTGACGTGTGGCTGTGGCGTGCCGCCTCATCCCCCTGCTACACCGCCTCAACTCCCCCCTCCCCACAACTCCCCCCCTCACAACTCACCCCTCTACAGGAACACAATGCTCATTGACTTCACGTGTGGCTGTGGCTTGCTGCGTTTCCGCTGCTGACATTCTCTTAGGGCGACCGCAACTGTTGGTGCTGACTCGCAAACTCGATGGCTTCAGCAGCAGCAGCACAGGATTCGGGCTGTAAGGAAATCCGTCTGTATTGAGGCATGCTATGCCCATTTAGCTTATGACATTACTGGGATCGCGGTCCTGAAACCTCTGCAGTGCAGTGGACTAATTGGTGTCGTTCGTTCCCCCCCCACCCCCCCACCCCTAATTTATAGTGTACAGTCATTTCGATATTAGTGGAACAGCAGAGCAGTCAGAGTAGAGGTGTTGCACAATGGCACACCTTGATTGTATTGATGTTTTAGGAAGGAACCATTATTTGGATTGTATTTTTTAGTTCAAGCTAAAACTACTGAGTGCAGAGACGCTTTTGCTGTCAGGAGTGGCATGATATGCCTTTTATTGGATTCAGGAGCCTTCTATCTGGAAGTACAGTATATAGGCACTGTTCACCGGTGTTTAAGTAACAGTGTATCTGGTGTTTCATCAGCACATTTTGAAGAATAGCACCCAGCACCCGTTACAGGAGAAATCGACTGAAGTTGTACCTCTGTTGGAATTAGCAAGGAATAGAGGGGAGCAAAGAATAGAGGGGTTAGCACCCAAGGAGCAGAACGACATGGAATCATGGCACCGGACAAATGAATTATCATCCCAAACCCACCTCCCGGAACAAATCACCCCATACCAATTTCCCCACGCTCATCTCCCCATACCCATCTCCCCATACCCATCTCCCCATACCCATCTCCCCATACCCATCTCCCCATACCCATCTCCCCATACCCATCTCCCCATACCCACCCCCCCATACCCACCCCCCCATACCCATCTCCCCATACCTACCCCCCCATACCCATCTCCCCACGCTCACCCCCCCATACCAACCCCCCCATACCCATCTCCCCACGCTCATCCCCCCATACCCATCTCCCCACACTCATCCCCCCATACCCATCTCCCCACACTCATCCCCCCATACCCATCTCCCCACGCTCATCTCCCCATAGCCACATCCCCCCATACCTCGTGCGGTGCTCGGCAGTGGTCGACCATACATCGCCCCCATCCACCCACACCATCTACTTTCATACTGGCCATTATACCCCCACACCCATCTCCATCCCCACATCTCCTATACCTCTCCCATCATGCTCGGCAGTGGTTGACCACGCATCCCCTCCATACGCCCACACCATCTGAGTTTCCCACATCCCCAAACCAATCTTCATACCCCCACACCCATCTCCAACCCCACATCTCCCCCACCTCCCATCATGCTGGGTTGTGGTTGACCACGCTTCCCCTCCATACGCCCACACCATCGGAACTTTCTACATCCCCAAACCCTTTTCCACTCCCCCAAACCCATCTCGATACCCCCACATCTCCCAATGCCAGCTCCCCCCTGTTAACTCCCATCATACTGGGAAATGGTCGACCACGCATCCCCCCCTTACGGCCACACCATCTGACCATCTCCATAACCCCCACCCTACTCCATCTCCCCATACCCACCTTCCCATACCCAACTCCCCATACCCACCTTCCCATACCCAACTCCCCATACCCACCTTCCCATACCCAACTCCCCATACCCACCTTCCCATACCCAACTCCATCCGTACATCTCTCTTACCTCGCGTCATGCTGAGCCGTGGTAGACCAAGCATCGCCCCCATACGCCCACACCAACTGCGAGCGCCCGTGGGGCTTCACTGCATGCCCAAGCACTCATCTCCCCGACCCCCCCTCACCCACCCTACCTGGCATCATGCTGGGCAGTGGTAGACCAAGCATCAGCCCCATTCGCCCACACCATCTGCGACCGCCCATGAGGCTTCACAGCAACGTGCCATACCCATTCCTATATCCCCGTCCCCTGCTGCTCATATCTCCCCCTGTTACCTCGCATCATGCTGGGCTGTGGTCGACCAAGCGTCCGCCCCATACGCCCACACCATCTGTGACCGCCCATGAGGCTTCACAGCAACGTCCCCCCCGTCACCTGACGATCTCGAGAACCTGCCAACAGTAGCCAAACGGTGGTCAACAGTGGTCAACGATGGTCAACGGCGGTCAGCGGGGGTCACTGGTGGACAACAGTGGTCAACGGTGGTCAACAGTGGTCAATGGGGGGGTCAGCGTGGGTCATCTGTGGTCCAAGGTGGTTGGAAACTTGATCATCAATTCGAGACGCCAAGTACAGACAACGAACTGGCATCTCCTATTTTTGAGGTTGATATTTTCTCTAATACTCACTTCATAACAGTGCCTTGCGAGCTTGTAGTCTCTATCGAAGGAGACCCTATAGTGAAGCTCGTTGTAGCGCGGACGTTTGAATACCCGTCCAAAAAGAACCTCCCCGGGGTGTTGCTGCTCGGAACCCTTACAACCGCGTCAGATCCGCCCATTTGCCCGTCCGGCGTCCACCCTATAGCGAACCAGCTCTTAGCGGAGACGCTTCCTGCCTTCGCCTGTAGCGCGAGCCGCAGGGTGGATCCGGTTGTAGCCGCCCAATGGAGGGTCAGACTGGAAAACGACAAAGAGAGCGAGGCGGTGGGGGCGGGAGGTGGAAGGGGCGGAGATTTATTTCAGAGAGCCACAAGTGACCGTGAATGCATGGGTGTGATGACGGTTTAGTTATTATGAGGCAGAGGTTGAATTGTATGTAATACGAAAGGTTAATATATATATATATATATATTTTGTAATGCCCCATGAAGTTTGCGCTCTTCTGGGGAGAGTCGGACCAATTGTGAAGTTTGAGGCACACTATGTAGGCCGTGGTGCTTCAGCCAGCATCAAGAAAGGTGGAAAAGAGGAGGAGGAAGGGGAGGAAGGTGCGGAAGGGGCTGAATGGGAGGAAGGGGAGGAAGGCGAGGAAGGCTCGTAAGGGGCGGAAGGGACGGAAGGGGAGGAATGATTTGAGAACTCTCGCCAGCCACTACGGATGTATTTTGAGACGACTCAAAATACACCTGGAGGGGACGTGATAGGGCGAGGAGGACGGGAGGACGGGAGGACGGGAATTGTATTAGACAGGGTGTGCTCGTACCCGTTATAGAGTGACTTGGATCGTCTGACACTGTAACGAGGTGATTATTGGGTCGTCTGACACTGTTACGACACCCTTTCAGCGGCAAGTGGAAATGAACTCGTTCGTACTCGTCATAGAGTGACTTGTGGCGTGTGAATTACAACAAACTGACATTCGCGTCTAAGTCAAAAAGGACGGAAAGGAGGGTTGGTCATACCCGCCATAGAACGACTTGGAAGTAGTATAACCGGGGAGGCTGGACGGCTGGCATCGGCGGAACGCGCCCAGCACGTTGCGCAGTTGTGGCGGAAAAGCGCTCGCGGAACGCGCGGGGAGCGCGCTTTTAGTCGCCTCGTTGGAGTGCGCGGAAACCGCAGATTGCGCGGATTGCTCGGAGAGCGCGGGGAGCGTGGTTAGAGTAGCTTCAAGAGAGCGCGCGGACTGCGCGCAAAGCGGGTGCGCGAGCAGCGCAAGAAGCGGAATCGTAAGGCAGAGGAAGGACAGGCGGACAGCGTAGGATGACTGCGGGCGCGGGGAGCGCCGGCAATAGCTCGGCGGAAGGAGAGGTGCATTACTTCTAGTAAGATCGGGGGAGACAAGTCGGAATGGTGGATGCGGAATGGGTGAGGCAGAAAAGTCTGTACTTGTCGCACGGCCACAACCGCCGCCGTGCGAAAACTTCTTCCTCGCACAGAACGTGTTTGCCGCACTGCGACGGCCTTCTCTGCCCGTCTGCGACGGCATCGTGTCGCCCGCGTCTACCATCGAGGTGTTTGTAAGTCGACTCATCTGCAGTCTTTCTGCGGGGCTCGCGCCCGTCTGCTGATTATCGAGGCGCCTAAAATTCGTTTGTCGTTGCTCCGCCGCTCCGCTGCGCGCCTTGCCTCAAACGCTACTTGCTTATCCTGCGCATGCTTGCGAGGGCTAGCTTCTCGAGAGGCTTTAAAATGTCACTGATTTGAAACTCAAAGTCACTCCAGAGGGCTAGCTCCTTAGGAGGCTCTTATCGGCCGCTGTTTTTACAAGTTGCTGCGTGTGGAAAAGGCGAATGAGTTGAACGTGTGGAGTAGGGGGAATATCCTAGCTGACTGTTGTTGCTGCCTTGCCTGCTGCGCCATGACTTTGCTGTTGCGTCTTTGCCCTGACTACTGATGCTGCTTCTAACCAAGGCACTACTGATGACCAAGGTACTGACGGCTGCAGGGCGATATGCTGGCGCAGGCGTGTAAAGTTGGGTGAGGCTACTGCAAAGCTTGGGGCGAGTGAGCATCGTGGGGCGAAATGTTGGTGTTTGGTGACTCGTGGGAGCGGCAAAGCAAACATTGGATGCAACCTCGAGCAGGCCTGGGGACCGCGTTCAGTCACATTTTCCGTCTACAGAACGCAACAATCCGGTGTCAGTTTGCCACAATGATCCAGACGGAATCAGCAAACTGGTTTGAGCCTCTGTGGTTTTTGGAAATGAGAAGATGGGTGTTTGTTACGAGTGCAATTGAGTGAACGAGCGAGAATTGCACTATCGAAGCAAGAGTACAATGAGCGAAGGCATGAGCGAAGAATATATAGCGAAACTACAGTGGTAACGGTAAAGTGGGAAATTGAGGTGCGCTACGGGCCTAGCGCCGAGGTTTGGAGAATTGTCGAGGCGGTGGTCCGGAGCGCGGGTTACCAACCGAACCGTTAGGTTGGGTCGCGTCGTGAACAGTGGCGGGAGTCATGGTCGAGGCGAGTGTCGTGAACGGGTAACGTGCATGGATGGGTGCTGAATGGCGGGAACGGTTATGTACGCGGTAAGCGGGGACGCGAAGTAAGGAAAATGAAATTTCCTTACACTACCCCCCTCCCCAAGGAGGCCCCTCTGTCAAATGTTAATGTTATGATAGGCTGCAGTGAGGCACTCCCTAGAGGGTACAACATTTGTAGGACTCCTATTTGTATGCTTGCAAACCCTAATCCCAATCATTCCGTTGCATGTAGATTCAGAGATGGTATCACGAGTAGGTATCGATCCTCCCTCCCCGCCCTAGCCGGCGCGCCCTCCGTTCCGCGCCCTCGCGCCCTCCGTAGCGCCTAGCGCCCTCCGCGCCCTCCGTCACGCCTCGCGCCCTCCGCGCCCTCCGCGCTCCTAGCGCCCTCGCGCCCCTTAGCGCGGCCCTCAGCCCGCCCCACGTCGCGCCCCTTAGTGCGCCCCTCGGCCCGCCCCTCCGTGCCCTCCGCGCCCTCCGCACGTTCGTGCCCTCCACGCCCTCACCGCGCGCCTAGCCCGGCCCCTCCCACTGTCGCGCCCTCCCCCTGCCCGTCGCGCCCTCCCCCCTGACCGTCGCGCCCTCCCCCTGCCCGTCGCGCCCTCCCCCTGCCCGTCGCGTCGCCTCCCTTCCCCCTGCCCGTCGCGTCGCCTCCCTTCCCCCTGCCCGTCGCGTCGCCTCCCCTTCCCCTCCCCGTCGCGTCGCCTCCCCTCCTCCTGCCCGTCGCGTTCGCCTCCCCTCCTCCTGCCCGTCGCGTCGCCTCCCTTCCCCCTGCCCGTCGCGTCGCCTCCCCTCCTCCTGCCCGTCGCGTCGCCTCCCCTCCTCCTGCCCGTCGCGTTCGCCTCCCCTTCCCCTGCCCGTCGCGTCGCCTCCCTTCCCCCTGCCCGTCGCGTCGCCCTCCCCTCCCAATCCCGTCGCCCTCCCTTGCCCGTCGCGTCAACCTCCCCTCCCCGCCCATTTCCCACCGTCAGATCCTCCTCCCGCCCATTTTCACCGTCGCATTCGGCCTCCCCGCCCCTCTCTCACTGTTCATCACCTTAGCCCCACCACCGCCTTGTGCGCGGGGCCCTCCCCAGCTCTGCTGACACTGGTCTATCCCTCAGCGGCTGGCAGCCGCTCTCTCTTGCCGGTCACCTAGGTTAGAGCCGTTTTAGCCGCTCATACCTCGCTCCTCGCACCTGTAGCTGGCGATCCACGATTTCACGCCTAGTCTAGGTCGCTCGGTACTCCTAGTCTCTCGCTCCGCCGCTTTCTTTCCTGGCGCTCCGTAGTTTTCCTCCTCGTTCTTAGCTCCGCCTCCGCCGTGCTCCAGCCGCCTCTAGCATGGGCTCCGCTATGGAGGCCCGTCGCCTCCGTTTCGATGCGGAGGGACGCCCAATCGAGTTCGGTACCTGGCAGCGCCAGACCACACGCTTCCTCACCAGCCAGCAACAGGACGGCGCCACCCTGTGGGCTCACGCGTCTGGTGCCCTACAGGCCCCCCCGTCCCCCGCCGCCCTGCCGACCACCCCGGAGCCGACCCCTACGGCACAGGCGGACTACGACCGTCGGGTCCTGGCCAGGGACGTGTGGCTCTCGCGTGACGCAGCCGCCGCTCTCACTCTGTCGGAGCTTCTCCCCCCGACTGAGGCCGCCCACTTTGACCAGGTGGAGACTGCACAGGGGGTTTGGGAGGCTATTGTTGCTCGCTACTCCACCCCCTCCTCTGCCTCCCTCAGTCGCCTCCTCATGCCGTTTGTGTTTCCCGACCTAGGCTCGTTTGCGACTGTTTCCGACCTAGTGACTCACCTCCGCTCGCTTGACGCCGGTTTCCGCGCTGCCTGTACCGACGCACAGCTTCTAGTTGCTCCCCCCCCCATGTGGCTCACTGTTCACTGGTTAGTCACCCGCCTCCCTGACCGCCTTGCCACTGCCCGCGACGCGCTTCTTCAGAAGCACCCCACTGAGCTCACTATCGACCTCCTAGCGACTGCTCTAGGGACCATCGAGAGCAGTCTCCTCACCGTTGCCTCCGCCACTGATGCGGTGGCCCCCCGTCTCTTTGCGGGGTGTGCCGCCCCTCAGCTTCCCACTTTCACCGCTACCCGCGCCTCTGCTGCTGTGTCGGTCTCTGAGGACACTGCTGTCGTTTCTGCCGCAGACTGGCAGAAACGGGGCAAGAGCGGCAAGAAGGGCGGGAAGTGAGAGAATCAGAACGAGAATGAATGAACTATGAAATGAAGTGAGTACAAATATGAAACCCTAATTGGTTGTACCCCCTATGGGATACCCCACTATAGCCTACACAACAGCATAAGCTATAATGTTCTGACACACCCCCATAGGCAAAGTGGGGGAGAACAAGGGGTCACAAGACCAGTCAAGCAAAGCAAAGCAAGCTCAGGGTGGATCACAAAGTCACCACACAGTCTGAGCACAGGGTCAAGGCCACACTGCGAGTTCACATGCAAGAGTACACACATATATATAAAGCTAGACAAGCAAGAGCAGGTATATATATATGTGAGAGTACAAGCAAGGTCAAGAGGAGAGCAAGTGAGGCAAGACGGGCACAAGACCCAGCTGAGTGCAGAAGCGCTGATGATCACAAGGCGGAAGTGCCTTGGTGAAGACATCAGCAGTGTTGGCC